CAGATCTGTGCGCAGGATGATGGCATGGTGCCACTGCTGTCTGGGGCCAGTGGCAGCACCAATCTTCCTGGTGCTTGGCACAGGTTGTGCCAGCCCCAGCCAGCAGCGGCAGCCTGCTGTCATCCCACACGTGGATCCGGGGGCCCGTACTTCCCGGGAGGAGTCTGGCTCATCCCCGCAGCTCTCCCAGAGGGTGCAGGCCCCAGATCTGCGTGCGGGATGACAACAGGCTGCCGCTGCTGGCAAGTGATACGAGTTTTGCTTTGAACAGTTTTAGGTGTGGTTTCACAGAAACCCCTGCACCTATCTCCTTGAAACCTGGCAGGCTTCGTTCTTTCAGAAGGGGCTACCATACCTGCAATTTGCATCTGAATCAGACAAGACATGAATTTTAGTGATTTCCCCATTGTAGCCTATGCCTGAATCACCAAAACAGCATCGAAACTCCAAAACAGACTCAGCTGAATGAAAATGGAACAATGATCCAAAACACCGAAACAAATCACTGTCCCTCCAAAATGGCTGAATCTGAAACCGAATCAAAATGTAGCCATCTTGCACAGCCCTATTGATTACTACTCCCTGAGCCCAGTGCTCCGGCCAGTTTTTTATCCACCTTACAGTCCATTCATCCAACCCAAACTTCCTTAGCTTGCCTGCAGCAACGTTGTGGGAGACCATAGCAAAAGCCTTCCTAACATCAAGGTACACCACAGCCACAGGTCTCCACACATACACAGAAATATTCCTTGGAATATACGTGCCTCCCCCATTTCAGTGGAGTAAGCCTGTCAGCACTAAACATTTCTCTAAATGCCATATTTAGTTTGCCGTGGTAATAATAATTTTCACCTGACACGAGTAACAAAGACAGCAGAGCCTTATCTTCTGTTCTGTATAATTGGAAGAAGCTAGTGGATTGGAAGAAGCTCGTGGCTGTGCAAAATTTTGCCCAGTGTTTTGTTTTGAAGCTGTTTCGAGCTCGAAGCAGCAAAATCGAAACAAAACAAAAGGCTTGAAAACAACTTTGAAATGAAACAAGGGCACTCGTAACATTTTGAGTTTCAAAACTGGGCTTACCTGGCTTTAACATCGGTCCCAGGTGGCAGTGGCAGCCTCCTCTCATCCGGGGCACAGATCTGGGGGCCCGCACCCCCAGAAGGGCTGCTGGACTGTGCCAGACTCCTCCCGGGGTTGTAGGCCCCCAGAACCGCTGCTAGAGGAGAGGAGGCAGCTGCTGCCAGCAAGTGTCAAGAGTTTTGCTTTGAATAGTTTGAGGTGCAGTTTCCCAGAAACCTCTGCACTTATCTCCTTGAACCTTGGAAGGCTTCATGCCCTCAGAAGGGGCTATCATTGCTGCAATTTTCAACCAAATCAGGTAAGAAATGTTTAGGCATTTTCGTGATTCCCTATTCCAGTCTGTGGGTGAAACGTTGAAACGGTGAAACAGTTTTAATTAAAGAAAATGGAACAGTGCTTCAAAATGAAACGACCAAACAAAACACTGACCCTTCGAAATCACGAAATGGAAGTCGAAACAAAACGGTGCTGTTTCACACAGCCCTAGTAGATAACAGTACTTTATATTTCAAGGAAATTATGTAAAACTAATCCAGTTTATTACCAGCCTTTGAAGATGGTTGTACATTTAAAATAAAAATTGAAGGTGAGCAGATAACTTTTTTTTTTCAAATTTCAAAGTTGATTAAGGTCAAATGTAAAAGATGGTGATGTTCTGTGGAGCAAATCTAATGAAGACTGGTTGGATTCAGTGATGTTAAGATTGTAGCTTTCTCAGGCATGCTAAGTATATTGCATGACTGCAGATTGTAGATTCAGTTGACTGTGTGGAGATGCGATTATATCAGGAAAATTAACTAAGGGGCTTCAGTATTTCATTTTCCCTTGGGTAGTTAGCAAAAATCTTAAAAAAACAGTGTGTAAGTAGTTTCTTACATCTTAACTGTTCTTACAGATGTACAAGCAGTAGTGCTGTCAACATTTGTAGAGTTGCATCATTCTAACTAAATTTAAAATCCATGTTGTTAAACTAGGGTAGATGTATTAAACTGAATTAGCTTTATTTAAATTGATTTAACTTAGTTCATGCAAACTTGTTTCCCTCAGGATTAGATTAGCAGCAGTTATTTTGGTATTAGTACCAGAAAAAACCGACAGATTAAGAAAATATTGCCTCTTAGGAATCTTTAACCGCTAATATAACATAGGCTCATTTTGTTTGCAAACCTGAGCTGAGTACAGAAAGTTTGTGCAGACTGAGCCACTGACAAAATAGCAGCAAAGGACTTTGTCTCAATACAGTTCAAACCTCAAGTAGTCTAACTGAAAAATAAGATTTATTAGGAATGAAAGAAGTTCTTATATTTACAGGATGGTGGAGAGGAAGTGATGAGTTTCTGTAGCTAGGACTTCTTGAAAACTAGTCTGTCAGCATTGTCAAAGTTCCTGGACATGACAGCATTTTTTTTCCTTGCTAATCCTAATTCTGACACGTTATATTCCTAATTGTGCTTGGTGATGTCAAACTGGAACACTTAATTTGATACCATGTTGGTTGTGTAGGCATCACTCCATCATTAATTAATATATGCTGCTCACACAAAGGCTTTGCTAAAGCAGTGGCCGGTGTAGGCTTCACCAGCAAATCTGACCAATACATTAACTCACATAAACAAAACTTGGCCTGTGAGCCAGATGTGCATTCCTACCAAGAGATGGGAGGGGGAGATGGCTGTGCACGGTAGGATAATCCAGTGCCGGGATGATAAGGCTGGAATGGAGACACCCAGGGCAGAATGCAAAACAAGCCACTGGTACAGGATTGTTGAGACATTCATGTAATTTGTTTTTATCATTTTATAAAGGAGAATTGGAAAGTAGGGCAACTTTTGTAGTGGCCTGGGGGAGCCTGCGTGGTGTTGTGCCAACTACGTTGTGATAGGTACAAATGCCTTAACTCCTGAGCTGATTTATTTGTTAAACCAAAACATGTTAGGGCCGTTCTTGTAGACACTAAACCTAGCCAAATCTTTGCCACCAAACTAAGCCTGTGGCCATTCTTTGAGACAAAATTAGGGTTAGGATCTCCTGGCTGTGACTTTGGCTAGTACTGCAGTTCTTGAGACTTAACAGCAAAGATGACACTGATAACCCCAGACAACAGGTTTATTCGTAGCCTGCAAAAACTGGAAAGTAGAAAATCCACGGTTGTAATCAAAACTGTTGTTTACATATGTATGTTCCCAGCAGCCGTCTCGCAGAATGAGCTGGGATTCTGTATACCTGGGCTGGGTAGGATGTGATTGTCTGGTATTTCTAAACTCTGTTTTAAAAACTCTTAAACTATGTGTGCAAGTTGTTAGCCAGCTGCATGCTGCTTGTATCCTGGATGCAGACTGTCAGTTGGTTGACCTTGTGCGGAGTCTTTCTGTACTCCCTTATTTTGGCTCTTTCATCTTCTGTCTCTCGTTCCAAATGGAGAAGCTACTTTTAGCTATCCAGCTGAGTCCAGGCTTTAACAGTCGGAGGTGGGGATTTCTAAAGCTGGTTTTGTGCCCATAAATAAAGGGTGGGGTCACATTGCATATTCCAGTCAAGCAGCTACTGTGTTCAAAGGCAAGTCCTTTTGTTTCTGTCTCCAGAGCTTTTTGTGAAGAAATGTGTAAAAAAGTTTGGAGTTTTCTTGTGCTATATCAGCCTGAAACCTCAGCATATGGAAATTACTGCTTTTCAGATATGTTTTCACAATTCTCCTTTAGAAAAATGAAGCGAGACGTTGCCTTTAATTATAACAGTAATCTCTTCCACAGTAGATTTTACGCTCTATTAAACGTTCCAGGTTTAGTCTTCAATTAATTGTATCCTTTCTTCCATCTCTGACTTTAATTTCAAGCCTATAAAGCTGCTGGTTAATTGAGTCAATTTTTGAGTCCATTACCTCTAACTCTTTCATGATTCATATTTTCTTATATCAGTCTCTTTTCTGCTTCAAAATGTGGTTCCTCTAGAGCAGCGGTTCCCAACACGGTCCCTGCAGGTGCCATGGTGTGCCCCAAAGTTTATTCAGGTGCCCACATACACTTTCACAATCAGTAAAAATCATTATTCCAACAAAAAATGCTGTCACTGCTGATTTGAACTCGGAACAGCAACACTTTAATTTTTTTTTCACAGGCTGTACACAATGGCTGCCAAAATGAGACTGAGTCAGTCTGACTGAAGCAGTGACGGAGTGGCACTTACTACTCCCTCCCCAAGTGAAACTATGTGCATGTACATATCCAGGATTCTAAATTTTAATATTCATATTGGCGCCCGCTGCTTTTTCTTTTAAATTTGAATGTGCCCTTGCGTACGTAAACAGTGGGATCCCCTGCTCTAGAGCTTAGCCAAAATAAGCTGGTTGACTCTGTGCAATGTCTAACATTAAGCTTCCTGTCTAGATGCATGTGCATCTATCTTAATTTATATTCCAGTGATTTTGGAGTCAAGTTGCTGCTGACCTCAGCTATTTTTTAAATCTCACGTCTTCCAACAGTAACATAGTTATAAAGGGAAACAAAGAAACTGAGTATGGACACCCAGGAATCCCTACCAGGCCACAGGGATCTTGTTTCATCCTACAGTTTTGTTTGTGGACATGATGTCTCGTGCCACATTTTGACTGACTGAGCGTTTCTTGTCTACCAACAAAGACAACGTGTCTTGTACATAAATCTGTTTCCAAGAGTAAAGCTGGGAACGCACTACTAAAATACAAACTCAATACCTTTATCTTTTATGCCTAAGAAGTTAATATGAATCTAAAGATAAACCAGGAGGGCTTGGGGTGGGAGGGATGACATGGAAAATGATTTGGGGAGGAGAGGGAAAGTAATCTTCCTCATATGAGTGCAGCGACTGTGTCAAACTAAACAAAGAGCGGATGATTTTTCTAAGCAGATTTTGTTTACTTACTTTTTCTTATTTGTTAATTTTAGAAATCCTGCCAGAAACCTGTGGACAAGTATATTGAGTATGACCCTGTTATCATCCTGATTAATGCCATTTTATGCAAAGCACAGGCTTACAGACACATTCTGTTCAATACGAAGATAAATGTAAGTTGCTGGATGTTTTCTTCCTCTTCTTTTGTTTATCAGATATGCAAGTCATACCATAAGTTGTTGGGAATCATGATGAAAATAAGATTTGGCGGCTATTCTGAGTTTATTTGCCTTTCTCCTTCCTTTTCATAAGTGAGGAAATTTAATTAGTATCTTGTTTTCAGTTCTAATTAAGAGTCTAATGTTGTAAATTAATTATGTGGAATCCAGAATTCTGTAGCTGTTATGAGATCTATGGTCTGGATAAAATTAAGCAAAAGCAGCTGCCATAATATATATTGGAGATATTCCTAGCTCCCATTGGTTGAGAGAGGTTCTGTAAATTGCCAACTCACAACTTTAAAATTCCACTTGAAAACATTATCTTTTATAATATTGATATTGAACTGATTTTTAAACAATGCTAACATTACTGTACTAGAATACTTGGTACCAGTATTGACTTTTTGCAGACCTTCTCCCTTGTAATAAAACATATCACAAAAATTATTATTTTGGATAAAGATAATAATAGCTCATAGGGATCACTGATGCATAAATTCTCTGCAGAAATTGCTAAAAAGCAATGACTGTGTCCTTAGCATTACTGAGGGTATAGTGTAGCTTAAAGCATATGCCTTTATCTGGCAGTTAAAGTTCTGAGTTTCTTTTGTGCTTCAGAGAGAAAACACAATAGGAAACTTAGGAAGTCAAGCTTGGGTAACTAAGTTGTGGTCTCAGGCCTAGTCTTTGCTAGCACTTCTGCCATAGTCTGCCACTGTATGTGTACATCCCAGTGTACCTGGTGGTTCTGCACAACTCCACTCAGCAGCTGTGCTACCAGAGCACAAAATACATCCTGAACATAGTGTGGTAGCCAGCAGAAGGTGCTGGAGTGTCTCTTCTAATGTTTCTCAAATCTTTTTAGACTCAAGGCACCTCTCCATAACTTTTTTTAATTGAGTAGCACCTATTTCAAACCTAAATCTATTGAAGTGCTCACCTCCTTCTAGAGGGGACAGATAGTAGGAGTAGGGCAGTGGTCAGGCAGGGAAGAGCTTGAGTTTGCACTTACCTCCTTATAACTTGTGGCATCCTTCAAAAGATCTTACAGCATCCCAGTGTTCCCTGGCACCCTGGTTGAGAATCACTGGTTTATGCACATCTTCTGCTGACCACTGTACTGCAGCAGAAGCCTTACATGACTCAGCAGAAGCAGTTTAACTTCACCGGTGGAAAAGAGAGTTCTGCCACCCCAGAAGAGTTTTGAGAGTCAGTGCATTTGGTAGTGGAGACTATGCCTCAGTAAGTAATCTTGGACTGACAGTTTCCAGATGAGTGAGAGGGCTGAGGGAGGAAAGGCAGTATAGCTTAAGCAATAATGTCAGGTCTTGGCAATTTTTTGCCATTTTAGCTCCATCAATCAGGAGTATGGTGAGTGGTCTGTGACAGAGACAGCTTTGTTGGATAAAATGTCTATTGTAGATGTAGTCACGCTAGCAGAACTGTGCTTTTGCTTGTTCACTTTATCTGAGAGAGGGGGCAATAGTAAAGCACAATTTTGTTGGTATATGTTGGATCTACATTAAGAGCTTTTGACCAGTGTGGTGTATTGGTCTTGATATGCTAGCAGAGTTTACCAAGGGTAGACATGGCTTAAGACTTTTGAGAGATGTAAGGCAACTACAGCTGAGGACAGACTAATGATGCCTCGCTTGAGGCTTCTGGATGGGCTTGTCTACATACTGAAATTGCACTGGTCCAACTTGCACTGGTTCATCTAAGCCAATTTAAATTCCATGCATGGACTCATATGACTTAAACCTTAACAGTTGAAAGATAAATTGATAATTTACAGCTTCAAGTCAAAAGTATATACTTAGTTTTTAAAGGCTGTAAAAAAATTTATGCATACAAGTCTCGCTGATTTAACTGCATCAGCATGAGCATCACACAATAAATTATGATGGAACTACTTTGTGTGTAGACCAGGCCTAAGGAGGAGTTGTTTGTGTGCCATTGGTTACCATCCCTGTACTAGAATTCAGGACATTTTTCTTTACAAATGTAGACTGCTTTTAAGAAATTGCCTGATTTCACGTTGCTGAAATCTGCTACAAATAGGAAACAGATCTGCAGGGCTTCAATTTTTGTTACTACTTACCGTAGCAAGAACATCATTATTTGAAATCCTGTTGTATTAGATATTGCGCAAACAAATCAGAAAATGTGGTTCCTGCCCCATAGAACATATGCTTGTCTTCTAATATGTCTCCGTAGTATTTTCTCTTTCAGTTTCAAAATAATATGAAGTCCTTTAAAGCTTGAAACTAAAGTGTATCCCATCTGAATCCCTATCTAAACCCAAGATCTCCTCTTGTTTTAATTCATGTCATGATTACAAACCCTCTGAATTGTTTTTGGTTCTGGCAGGGAAGGCTCCTATAGCAGCACCTTTGTGATGTCCAAAAAAAGGATAATGGAAGTGTGGCCTCTTTGATCAAGGCTCTCTTCCTCGCATGCCTTCCAAATTACACATGCTCATTTTTTCCGACAAAATGTTTATTCCTAGAAGTATTTCAAATTATATGAAACTGTGAGTGAATGAAACTTTCCCTCCCATAACCCCTCCATCACTTATGTGTCACCAATGGGGATCCATGCCCTAGATTTCAGTGACTGGCCCTGCCTCTCAATTCCTAGCTCCTCTACAAGCCCCATGGGCCACACAACATGGGTCTGGAGGCCAGATGCAGCCTGTGGGTAATAAATTTGACACCATTGATTTAAGCAAATTCCAGATGAAAAAACATTTTCCAACAATGATAAGCAAGCCAGAAAAAAAAAAAAAGAAAAAACAACAGCTTGATATTTGGGTCCCTGATTGTATCCCCATCACTGACAATTAGAAAATTCAACCTTATTCATAAAACAGGAAAAGTTTAACATGGAAACATACTAATAATGGACCTCTTATGCTTTTCTCCAGTCCAGTTTTTCAGGGGACATTTTACAATATGCGAGAGACCAAATTATATTTGCGTTGATCCCCTTTTCTCCCTCCCAAACATGCTTAGGCTATGTATACACTTCAAAGGGTTGATTGGTTGCTATGTCTATAGTAGCAAACACCCATGGTGCAAATGAAGTTTGTGAAGGTATAAACCAATTAAACCAGTTCGCTCAGCTGAAAAACTGCATTTACTGTAGGCCTCCTTTAGGGATGACTGTATAAGTTAAGAGTGTGTTTGTTTGTTTTTAACACCTAACAATGCTGGTAAAATTCTCTTATGCAAATCAGACCTTGTATATCTTCTTTGCCCAAATCTGCTCATGCACTTTCCAAACCTCTGATTGGTCTGTAATATTAAACGGGCTAGCTTGTTTAAAATACTGTATGCTAATGTAGTAGTAGACCTGAACAAGCCATTTGCTTATTCCCAAAGCAAAAATGATAACGTTGCAGAGCCTATAGGTGCTAAGCATCTTTCGAATTAAATGCTAAGTGCTTAATGCTGATTCTGTCAACGTTCTTTTATGTACCAGATTCATGGGAAGCTCTGCATATTTTGTTTGCTTTGTGAAGCTTATGTCAGGTGGCTACAGCTACAGGATTCAAGCCAAAACATAGATCCTGATGACTTAATCAGATATGCCAAGGAATGGGACTTTTATAGAATGTTTGGAATAGCTTCTTTAGGTAAGAATTGTGATTACTTCATATAACTATCAACTGGTCTTTTAGCCAGCCCTTAGTTTTATTGAATCTTGATCTTTTCAAACTAAATGCATTGAAGAAATTACAAGTAATAATTGATGTCATGTCCTTCCCAAAAGAGGTGGTTTAGTGATCTCTGTATACAGTCTAAAACAGTTTTGTAGCCTTTCAGGGGGAACTGGCATTATGTCTTCATTTTTATGTTGATTCCTATTTTTCTTCAGTGCCAGTTCTGACTGACATTACCTTACGATGAGGAGTCTACTGAAATCAAGGAGGTGGCCAGCAAATTTCACAGGGAGATCCCAGGGCCAGTCACCATTTTTATAGGCTGAGCGTGCCCCCTCCCAACCCGCCTCTGGCTGAGAGGCCCCAGCAGTCCCGCCCCTCCCTGGAGATTGCCACATGGCCCAAAACTGCAGCATAATTACCCCGATTAAGCCCTGGGAAGCCATTAATCTATGTATTAGTAAGCATGGTAATTAATCAGGGTAATTAAGCCACAGTTTCAGACTGTCCCCAAGCAGTGAGCTCTGCGCTTTTTGGTGGCCTCACTGGAAAAAAAAACAAACTACAGGTACTCCTCACTTAACGACTTACCTGTTTAACGACCGTGCGGACTTACGACCAGCAAGAACTGGTCATAAGTACGAGCACTTTGGGCTTTGAAATGGCAGCGCAGCATCTCAAGCCAAAGCACGCAGTATCAAGGAGCGGCTCCTCGCTTATCAACCAATTCGCTTAATGGCCTAGTCGCAGGAACGGAAATCGGTCGTTAAGTGAGGAGTGCCTGTAACTTACTGGCAAGTAGTAAAGCCCTGCAGTCTTAGAGCACAAGGGGGAGGGCAGATGGGGAAGACAGGGCAGGGACCTGGGAAGAATGCCTGCTGCAGGGCACCTCCATGTGCCCTCCCCAATGGGTGGCATGGCTAGGCTGGACCACCTGCCTCCAGTGCAGCACAGCCTGCAGACACCTGGGTTCTGCCTCTGGTTTAGCGGCCCTATGCTCTGCTGGACCCAGGTATCACACTCAGCATGGGTTGGAGGCCCTGGCAGCTCCTCCTGCGCCACCCTGGCTGCTCCATGCTCTACCTGCTGTTGTGCCTCTGGATGCTGCTAGCTGAAAGCAAAGTAGGAACTGGGATGCTGGTGCTGTGTCCTTGCCCCAAGTCCTGCTGCAGTGTGGAGGGATGCAGCAGGTCCTTCCTTCTGCTCACCTTGGGTTGATTGAAGACAAGCTGCTTATGCCCCACTCCATTCTGCTGCCGCCCTGACCTGGCTGTCAGGGTCTTGGTAGTGCTGCCACCCCTTGCAGCCAGCTTCACCCATGCCCTGCCCCACCTCTGCACCTCCTGTTGTAAGCAGCTCTGCCCCACTGCCCCCTTCACCCTCTTCCCCATACTCCAAGACTTCAGGGCTTGTCTGCTTGCTGGTAAGTTTTTGTTCTTTTCAGTGAGCACTGGTTTATTTGTGAAGCCTGTACTTTTCTGTGGAGCCTGCCCGAATTTGCAGTTTCCACTAAAATCGTAGAGTTGCGATTTTGGTAAGTCTGTACTTATGACAAAACACACATCAGTGCTAGGTATTGAACCATCAGAAGATGGCAGTATTGAGAATGTTTGGTCTGAATTGTTATCTATTTATATGGTTTTGATTATAAGTAGTAACAGATAGATGTACCTTAGCCAAGAGACTGGCACCCAGAGTACTAGCAGCTGGCTGAATTTTTACGTGAGAAAAATTGGTTGGTTAAGAAAAATGTTTTGTCATGTGCTTTGAATCTTACTTGAACTGGCCCCTAGTGGTCTTTCATCATGTGAGAGCATCATCCATCCAAAAATACTCCTCCTAGACCTAACCTGTTCCAGAATAGCTGTCAGTTGTTACAGTTTCCTGTTTGTCACATTCTAGAATCATTAGAAAAGTTAGGGAAATGTTTTATCAGTTCTCTTTTGCTAGCTTGTTTAAAATGGGATTGAGAAAAGGCTAGAGTCACACCTCATGCATGGCTGAATACTTATTCTTTTGCTGCAGAGGCAGCTAGCAGATGGAGGCATGAGTTTATTGCATATTGATTTACTGAAAAGTTTATTATTCCTAGAGGTGAGATGACAGTGAGGATGCTGCTGATGAAAATGAACAGTAAACAGGAAAAGCTGTACTAGCTTCTGAGCCATAAATAAATTATTTTTTAAAAGCAAACATTTTGCCAAAGAGTCAGTGGCAAAACTAGTTTGGAAGAAATGTTATTTCCAAGCATCAAAAATTATATTTAAAACACTTGAAGGTGATAAGTGGATCTTTAGTTGTTAAAAAAGTATATTCAAATCTTTTGTGGTACCACTGTCTAGTTTGGACCCATCCATTAGAACCATAAAGCATTCCCACAGTTTTGCTTCATACTTTCAGCTCTTTGGGGTAGCAACACCAGAAAAAACATAACTTGAATTAATCCTTTGTCCTCATCCTCCAGTAAGTGTTTCTGTAGATAGTTTCTTGTAAATGAAGCTCAGGTCTTTACTATTATCATCTCACTTTTCCATCATCAGGTTTTCATAAAATTATGGTAAAATTGCCTGAGCTCATGTTTTCAGCAGCAACTCCTCCCTTGCTGTCTTTGGGAAACTGTTCTTACAGTGAGTTACTCCATATCTTACTAGCACAGGAAAGGCTTGGTAGTCTAGCAGTGTTTTTTTGAGCCTTTACTAATCTTCCATAGAATATCAGTATTGGTGACCTTGGCTTACAGCTTAAAGACTAAATGAAAAAAATGGTCTTTGGGAAGAAAAAGTAGAAATAGAGGACATTTTTCACATTGAAGTTTTCCTGTGATATGGATTTGTCATAAACGCCGTAGATAAAAGTGGCTGGATCCTTTGAATAAGATTGGACTGGATTGGTTTATGGGAGTAGTAATTTAGCAAGGCAACTATTACTAATAAAGATAAAGTGGGGGAGGAGGAGGAGAACATGTTTATGATTCATCTATAACATTTTATTAAAATAGTCAAAAGCTCATTTGTAGTTGGTATTTATTACACTGAGATTAATTAGGAAAGAATTTCATTTGATGCTTTATGCTGTTATTTTCTTCTCCTCTCCATTGTCCACTCAGAGCAAACTGCATTTTTGGTTGGCATTTTTACTGCCCTATGGGTAGCCAGGCCTGAGATGCTGAAAACAAAGTCTGACTTCATCTTACTTCTGAAAGCCCTGCTGTTGTCTAGTTATGGAAAACTTCTGCTGATTCCAGCTGTTATTTGGGAACATGACTACACCCCTTTGTGTCTCCATCTCATAAAAGTATTTGTACTGACATCTAACTCGCAAGCAATTAGAGGTATTTTGCTTTTGTTGTATTAGTATAATATCTCTGTTGCAAATGTTATTACAACATGTTATTTTAGAATATCTTTTCAGTGATGCTTTTAAAAATCAGATATAAAAGAGATTCTTATGTGTGATTGCAACAGTCCTTAGCCTAGAATTATCACATTGGGCCTTTCATTGTGGAACTGAAAACATTAATGAAAAAAACCTTATCTTGCAATCACAGTTTTGAAACTAAAAAGAGATCCATCAGTTACATGTTTTGAAGCAACTCAACATGGGTTACTAGAACATAAAAGTATAATTAATCATTTGTGTGGGGATTTTTTTTTGTAACTACAATTTGAAAATTGTATATTGACTTAAGAATATTTTCTAAGCTATGCATAGACTGTTTAGACAGACTTTTTCTGTGCAACTGTTCAAGTGTATATATTGATATAAATCCACAAACAATTTCTATGAACTTTTAAAAGGCTTTTGGTCCAAACTGTTTATACCAGTGGTGCTAAATCTCCAGCCTCTGGGCCAGATCTGGCTTGTATAGCTATGTTATCCAACTCGTAGAGCTCCCAATGGATCCAGAAATTTGGTGGCAGTAGAGCAGTGGTAATTAATACTGCCACCACTCCCCTGTTGTCAAATTTCTAAGCATGTGGGGCTTGGGCCACAGATGCAATCAGGGTGTTTAATACACCCTGTTGAGTTGGGGCTGCACACCAGGCCAGACCCGCACACCAGATTGGGCCTGCAAATCAACCCCACACCCCTCATCTAGCCCACAGAGAAAAAAGGTTCTGTACCACTGGTTTATTTTTGGGACAGTAAAAACATTATTGGAAAGATTGAACATTTTGTTCTGTTTTCTTTTGCAGTTACATTGAACTTAAGCCGAAAGTTTGCTTTGTTGGCCATCCTGAATGGATTGCTTTTCGAAAGTGGTGTTGTCTATTTGTTCCAGAGAACGGGATTGAATGTCTGAAAAAGCAGTCCAGCATCCACTTGCTAAATCTTCAATTATTTTGAAGGTCTAAATTAAAATCAACATGGTTATCATTCTCAAAGGATTACCTTCCTCCAGCAAACCCAAATCATTGCTTTCATAATGTGATAAAGAAAATCGTTGGATAACAAACATTTTCATTGCCAGCAGTTGGCTGGAAACAGTTCTGGAATTTTTAGTTTTAATTCCTTACACAAATACAGCTTTTGTATGTGCTAAACCATAAAACTTGAGTCTGTACTTTTGTTTTTCATTAGAAATATGAATGTGCCAGCACGCTAATAACTTGATTGATCTGGCAGTAATGCAAAAATGTACACTAAAAATGTTGGCATTGCCCACCACTAATCGCTATTTCATTTTGGCCAAAAGAGGTAGATGAATTGTTCCCTTAAGAGGGGAAGAAAAAAGTAAGCAATAAAATGAAGGGAAGACTAAACCAGTATTTCAGACCAAATTGTTTTTGAGAGAGAGAAACGAATAGACTAAAATGGACTACTGGATTGGACTGTTCACTAATACAGAGCTAAGGCTGGAAGGGACCTCAAGAGATTTAGTCCAACCTGGGAATCATACCTGTGACCTTCGTATCATTAGCACCATCCTCTAACCAGCTGAGCCAAACAGCCACAATGCAGTATAAGTGCAATGGTAGGACTAAACTGCAGTCTCAGGGGTGTTGCAGTACCAATCCAAAGTAATAAAGGAATTTAGGGGTGCACCAGTAAAGAGTTTCTTAGCCAATACTGATAGACGATTGTTAACCAGCCATATTGGCAGATATCAATCTGATAACCAATTTACAGGAATGCATCCAGGCAGCATGGCTTCCTGAAGATAAGTCTGTGGAGGGGAAGGGGTGTGGGGTAGGGAAGAGGCATGGGGGTACAAATCGAGGCCCCCATGGTGAGGGAGGGAGTGGGGCAGGGCTGGGGCTAAGGGTGCTGCCCAGCCAGGGCAGTGAATGGGACAGGGCCATGGGTAGCTTGTCCAGGGGATCAGCATTCTGGCACTTAGAAATGGCGGTGGTGGCACTTGAACTAAAGCTCATCGAATGAGCTTTAGTTCAAGTGTCTTTGCCACCATTTTTAAGCGTGGGGACGCTTTTAATTGAAGCCGAGCAGGGCAGGCGTGGATGCGGGCTGCTCACTTTGGGGTCAGGGCTCTCCACCCTGCTGCCTTTACCCCAGGGGCCCTGCTCTGGCTGTGTACTCCCTGCCCACCCGGCAGCAGGAGGCACAACTCGTTGCTACTACTGCTGCCATTCAGGCCAGCACAGGGCTCCCAAGGGAAAGGCAGCAGGGTGGAGAGCCCCAAGCCCTCAATGAACAGTCTGCATCTGCTTTGTGCACTCGCAGCTCTGTCTGGCACCGGCCCCAGCCCCAGCTCCCATTCACCGCCCTGGCTAGGCAACATCCCCAGCTACTGGCCCCTGCCCCTACCCTACTCCCTATCTCACTGTGGGTGCCTTGATCTGCCCCCCACACCCCTTCCCTCCCCTACGCCCCTTCCCCTCCACAAACTTACCTATACGGAGCTGCTCTTCACGCTGCCTAGTTGCATTTCTGGCCACTTGCATGCATGAGGCTGTGCATATGCACACAGTGTCCAGACCGCTGTCCAGAAGGCATATTTATCGGTGAACATTATCAGATACACCGGCCAAAAAAAACAATAACCACTAATGTTAATTTTCCTTTTATTGGTGCCAATCTGATATGCAACCAATATATCAGCGCACCCCTAAAGGAATTATTTTTAAAGTAATTGCTTCAAAGCCATGTTTTAGTTGGTTACATTTTGGTTTGGTTTCATGTCTCAAAAACTACTCCCTTCCCTCTATTCTGAAAACTGAAAAGAAAGAATGGAAGGAGTTCACGTCAGACTCAGTGGCACTCTTGCTCCCACTGTCTTTCTGACTGCTATCAGGACAGATTTGCATTATTCCTCCTCACACAGCCCTCCTCTGGGAGCTGGTTTAACAGAACCAGCTGACTCTAGTTTAAGGCTGCTCAGCCATGTTCTTTAATGGAGCAACATAATTTGCTAGAGAAATTAGCTGCTTGCTTGTAATTGCTCAGTTAAAGAAGCTTTTAGGAATGTATGACTGAAACAGGGCTTGCAGGGCCATCATGTTCAGTTCCCTGGGATTATAGACAATTACTAACTGAAGGAATCCCTAAAATCACCACTTCCAAACTTCACCCATAGCCTTTAGGAGCAGTATAAAAATATGAAAAACACCCTATAAAATGCCATAGGTAAAAATGAGGGCAGAAAATGTCTTCTTTGGAGACAGACACTTCCCTGGGCAACAATCAGCCAGCAGGCCTGCAAAGGTTGGTGCAGACGAGAAGGTTAGCATGGCTCCAGTTGGTTCTGGATTGTATGAATTTGCTTCTGTTCTTCAAGCTGACTCCCATCAGGCACAGGGATGATGGGCTGTTTCTAAAACTTAGCTTCGCTGCTAGAGAGGTGGTTTTTAGTCACAGGTTGCAGGGAGAAAATCACTGATTCCTCCTCTGGCCCAGGTTTTGGTGGGAACATGGAGAGGCAGTGTCTCCATTCTGCATTTTTCTTCGCAAGTCATCACCAGTTTCAAATCTTTAACCTCTTCCTGTGAAATTTATAAAGCAGATTACCCCCCCTGGGTTTGACACCATTTCAAAATTAATCCCAAGAATGGTACCACTCCTTGATCATTCATCTTCATTGTTTACTTGGTTAGTTTGGGCCACAACCTTAAAAGGCTAGGGGTATTAGGCATGCTGAAATGCCTGGGACAGAGTGTACATGCCACAATAGGTTAATTCAGGAGAAGAGCAGGTAGCTGCTATGTCTGTTACAGAACAACAGATACTCTGCACTGTTACAGCAGTTATATTCACCAGCAACACTCGGAGCATAGCAGAATGTGTTCAGAGGGGGCAAAACATGATTGCAACTGCCCTACAGCCAGACTACTGGCCACATAAAATGTGAGGATGGTGGTTGTGGATGTGCTTTGTGGAGGGTAAGGTCTTAAGACGTTATAGCTGCAGCTGCTCCCATGTAGCATATACAAGGGCAAAATAAGAGCTGCTAGAAAATTGTGAAGAGAGAGAGATTCACTTGGCATATGGACTATCTACCAGATGACTGACTGCACGTCTTACAGACCAGTGGCTGAGCCACAGCACTTACATGCTCCGTGAGCTGCAAACAGTGCTTTCCTGGTTTGGGTTTGAGAATGAATTCACCTCCAGGAACATCTGGGGCAAATTGTGCTGTTGTGGACAGGTCTCTCAACCTCTCTAGATTTGTGGCAGCAGACAATGGAATATACATTGTAAAGGCAGAACACAATGACAACTTCCAAACTGTCTCTTGCCTTGCTGCCTCAATCTGCTTGGAAGGGAATTTCTGAAGAGGGAGGCCAAGGTATAGGCACTGCTTTGAATGGTCAGTCAGACCTGTAGCCACTTCATCTGGTTCTGTGGTATACACTGTGCACTAAGCAGTACAAGACTTGCTTTTTCTGTCATGCCACCAGATGAAATGAGAGATAGAAAGGAGATTCATCTCCAATTTTCAATCTGAAAGCAGCAGTGGAAATATGCAGTGACCTCCATTGTTACCATTCCTTGACCACTCCTGAAGAAGCTAATTGAAAATTTGCAGCACTTGGATAAGACCACAAAACTACTCATTTGGGAAGATACGGAAATCAGCCACCATAGTCCTTTACTGTCGTTCCTAGGAACAAAACTAGTACATGAAGAGCCTTGTACATCAAAAGAATTAAAGCACTGGGGAATTACTAATAGGGGTGTCACACTGTCTGCTTTATTTTAAAATTGTCATCACGTAAGTGTCAGAAGGAGTGTTTACTTGATGGCAGCATATCAAGACCTCTGGTTTTAAAGTCCCCTGGATTCCTCCCTCTTGCGTATTAGAGAAGTTGGCATATCAGACTTTAAAATCAGACTTTACAACATAGTGGCTGAAGTGACTGCCCAGGGCCCTATATGATAGGAACAACAGCCTGTTCTCACCAAGAGACAAACAATGCTTTGTGTCTTGGTGAATCACAGACTGAATACAAATCTACAGTGTGATGCAGCTACAAAAAGGCTGAATGCAGTTTTGGGGTACACCAATATAGGAGCATTAGGTGCAAGATACGGGAAGCGATAGAGCCTCTTTACTTGGTACACGTTAGACCTCATCTAGAGTATTGTGTGCAGTTTTGGGCTCTGCATTTTAAAAGGGATGTGGAGAAGTCGGAGCCCAGAAAGGTGACAAAAATGATAAAGCACTTGGAACACAAACCATATGAGGAGAGTTTGAAAGTAATGGGCATGATCAGCTTGCAGAAAATGTGATTAAATGTGGATATGATAGCGGTCTTCAAATACCTGCTGCCATAAAAAAGAGGGAGAACACCTGTTTTTTTCCACTGCAGAGAGCAGGACATGTACCATTGATTTGAAGGTGCAGCAAAGTAGGTTTGGACTGGATATAAGGAAAAACTTCTTCACTGCTAGAACAGGGCGACAGTGGAATAGACTGCCTGGGGAAGTTGTGGAACGTCTGTCATTGGGGCTTTTCAAGAAGAGGTGGATAAGCATTGGGCAGAGATTATCTAGGAGTAGCTGTTTCAAATGCTCTGTAAAGCACAGTAGTTGAAAGCCCAGGAGTACGTCCCCTCCCCTGAAGCCTAGAGCAGGTGGATATTGGAGAGGGCTGTGCTCAGCAGCAGGAAAATGAAGCAGTGTTTATGATCAGCTTAGTTATGAAAGATTAAAGCAGCTGGAGCCAATTCATGGAGGGGATACAGAAAGGGAACTTCTGGCTGTCTAGTTAGAGGATGTGATGTTTGGAGTAAAGCTTCCTATCCCGAGGTTTAGAGCAGAATAAAGAGTGTGTTTGTTTTTTTGTACGTCTGGGCTTTGCTAGTAGCCACATGGGAGTCGGAAGGAATTCTTTCCCCTCCTGTTGCACAGGTGTCAGGGTTTGATGTGTTTTTTGAGGAGTGGGGGGTTGTTTTTTTGTTGTTTTTTACCTGCCTCAAAAGAATTGGATGTTGGTTCCAGCCAAGGCTGGGGATTTTGACTGGGATGTGCCAGTGCTCCTGCTGAGACTAAAGATGGGAGGTTCCTATTTAGAGGGTCTTGCTCCTCCACTTGGTGTCAAACCAGTCAACACATTTGAGTTCAGGAAAGGATCAGATCTGTACAAGCTGTGGG